AATAAATCTATACACAGTTAACATATGTGCTTTGAGACTGTGCTATTCAGAGTACAGCCCACAGAGTAGCCGCATTGGTGATTATTAGAAGAACAAAGCCTTGTGCCTCCTCCAGACCTGCTTAGTCTGAATGTGCCATTTATTGCCACACTGAAGTACAATCTTACAAGATCCCAAAATATCAAGTATATTAGATATTTTGATCCAAAAATTTTTTGTACCCATTAAAAAATGTTTTTTTGACATTGAAAGCACACTGTGTGCTGGGCCTTTTCTAAATACTTAACTGGCCAATTATTCATTTCACAGATATTTCTCCTTTGGTGGTGTCTGATTTTTTTCTCACAGATTCAATTTATGAACTGCTAGAATACCACAGAAGTGATACCACTCCCTTTTTGGTGCTAGACATGCGGCATATTTTGTTGTGTCTATTTTTAGTTTTTTAGGTTGGATCTTCAGTGTTGCACAGATTTGCCCCAAACTCCTCAGCTCAGTTGACCTCCTGTTCAGTTTCTCATGTGGAACTGTGGGCATGTGCTACTATACCTGGTTGTCCCTAGTACAGATGATATTAATCCTCATCACTTGGTCAAGGTGGCTTCCTCACTGTAAAATGACGATTTTCCCTTTGTAATTAGTATCTTAGGTTGGTTGGTTTATTTTGTTTTTTGAGACAAGAGTCTTGCTTTGCAGCTCAGGCTGGCCTTGAGCTCACTTTGTAGCCCAGGCTGGTCTCCAACTCGCAGCAGTCCTCCTGCCTCACTCACCCTTCTTTGTGCTAGGATTACAGGTGTGTGCCACTATGCCCCGTCTCGTAGGATAATTTAAAATTAGAAAAGTTCCCTATTTCTCATGAAACATTTACCCACTGATATTAACAACCAATGATAGATAACATCTGAAACAATAATTTTGTGATTTTTTTTCCGAGTGACCTTTTCCTTCTCTATTAATTATAAATGTATTTGTTCCTTTCCTTTGTGTAATTTATTCACATATTTATGTTAGTGCAAGGTATTGGATTCAGTTTTATTTTATTCTTATAATCTAATGCTATAATTATTCACTTCTTCACATTGTTTCAGCTTTAGAGCTATTCCGGTTGATTGTTGTGCTTTTTAGACACACTCATTCTTTCACAAATGTTTCCTTATTTCTGTAAGATTTTCCTGTATTATCTTGTATTTTATTTTCTCATGTCAAATCTTTATCCTTCTAACTGCATTTAACCTTATTACCTCTCTAGCTAGAATAGCAAATACAGTGTTGAGTACATACAGGTCCAGATATCTGTATTCCTATTTTAGTGTGTGCGTTCCCAAAGCAAGCACCTTTAGCTCATTCCTGTCTTGCGTGCATAGTGTTCAGTGTTGCTGGGCCCGGTGGTAGATGCCTGTTAGCCCAGCATTCAGGAGGCTGAGGCAGGAAGATTGCCATGGGTTTATGGCTAGCCGGGACAACACAGTGAGACCTTATCTCAAAAAAAAAAAAAAAAAGATATTTTACATATGGTGTTAACTGTTTCTTAGAACCTTTTCACTATGTTGATAAAGTTTTCTTCTATTCCAGGTGGTGTGCAATATTTTTATAATGAATGGATGTTGAATTTTGTCAAGTGCTTTCTCAGCATCTGTTAAGATAGTTCCATACATTTTTTGTTTATTCTGTTAATATTATGAATTTGATTTCTTACTCGAACATTGAAAAAGAAGATGTACAGTGTTGGGTGTGGTGGCACATGCTTACAATCCTGGGTACTCGGGCAGTTGAGGAAAGAGGGTTAGAAGCTTGAGGCCAACCTGGTAAACTTAGTAAGACTCTGTCTCAAAAAATAAAAAGGGTTGGGGAGGTGACTCAGTGGTGGAGTGCTTGCCTGGCATGTGCGAGGTCCTGGGTTCAAGCTTAAACACTGAACATCAAGAAAAGAAAATTTGGGGCTGGAGAGATGGCTCAGTGGTCTAAAGCACCTACTTAGAACAAGCTTAGCAAAAGCATCAGGGACCACGGTTCAATCCCCCAGCA